GCCGGTGCGCCCAGTCCTTGCGTGCTCGGGTCCCCGCCACTGCCCGCCACATCGCCCCCCCGCCTCGCCCCGGCCCCGACGCGACCCGGCCCCGGCCCCGGCTCGCTGCGTCCCCCGGCCCGACGCGCCCCGACCCCGGCCCCGGCTCGCGGCGGACCCGGCCCCGGCTCGCGGCGGACACGCTTCTATGCCTGCCCCGGTTCGCGGCGGACCCGGCCCCGGCTCGCGGCGGACACGCTTCTATGCCTGGCCCGGTTCGCGTCGGACACGGCCCCGGTTCGCGGCAGACCCCGCCCCGGATGGCCCTGGCTGCGCCGGGCCGTCTGACGTTTACGGTGGTCCACCCTGCCCCGGATGGCCCTGGCTGCGCCGGGCCGTCTGACTGTTCCAGGTTCCTAACTGCGCCTCACGGCGCGTCTGACTGCTGCAGGGTAACGACACAGCTTACGGCACAGCTAACGACACGCTTAACGACACACTTAACGACACACTTAACGACACACGCAAACTCAATGTATATCGGCCTTTGCGGCATGGTAACGACACAGATAACGACACAGATAACGACACAGACTGCGGCACAGACTGCGGCACAGACCGCGGCACACTATTCTAATAATATGAATAAAAATAATAATACTCTTTCGCGCACGTGAGAGAAAACCGGGAAACAACAGCAAGCAACTAACCAAAAAGCCCCTCCCGACTTACACCCCGTTGCTGCAACATTAAGACACACAAAAAAGGCCTAAAAATGGCCTTTCCGGCCTGCATGGAGGCTGGAAAGGCCTAAAAATGTGGCTCAAAAGTGCAAAAATGTGGCTGAAAATTTGGAGGGTATTCGGAAAAACACTATCTTTGTGGCCGTTATTCATCAAATTACTGGAGATATGGAAGTGATAGAAGCTAAAATGGAGAGGCAGGGCCTCACTATGGAGACAGACCGTGAAGAATTTGCCATGGCACTGAAGACATGGCGGCTCCGGACTGGGAAGAGCCAGGACGAAGTTGCAAAGGAATGGGGGTGCAGCCGTTACACCATCCTCCGGGCAGAACGGGCCAAACCGATATCCTGGATGATGGCTTATCGACTGTTCGCTCACCTTGCTCGAGAACTAAGAAAAGAGGGTGAACCATGAGGTACACGACTATCATAGACATAAGGGAAATCCCGGAGGTCTATAGAAATCAAAACGTCCGGATTCTGTACCTTCACCTGGTCTTATTGGCAGGATATCATGACAATGACCGGGATATCGTCCGGGTGTCGTTGCGTAACCTGGCGGCGCAGACAGGGCTAACCCTGTCGGCTACCAGGCACGCAATTCAGCTGCTTATTAAGTGGCGCTTACTGCAGCACCGGAAAAGTTACTTCAAGGTTGTCAAGTTCATCGAGGAGAGCTCCATCACGCCCAGGGCGAAGTCGAAGAAGGCCCAGGAGGCCAAGAACCGGGCTGACCAAGACGCAGCAAACCAGGCTAACCAGGAGAGGCATGAGGAGCAGGAAAAAGAAAAGATCCAGGCAATCTATGACCAGGGTAAAACTCCATTCATGGAATGGTATGAAAAGAAGATCCAGGACGCAGCGCATGGTGACGCCGATGCGCAGCGTATAGTGAATGAGCATCGCGCCACCTACGAGGCGCATAAGTCTAACTTAAAAAACCAAACAAAATGACAGCAAAGGAATTTTTTTACCTGGTTGCATCCATGAGGGATGCGCAGAGAAGGTACTTCCAGAGCCGGGACCAGGTTGTCCTTAGGGCAGCCCGTAAACTCGAGAACCTCGTCGATGAGGAGATTGAAAGGACGTACCAGGTTTTGAACTCTCAAGAACTCTCCAGGCATGAAGGTTAAGAAGAAGTGTGGGGAGACTGACTGCGTCAGATATGACGTTGATAGCATCCTCTGTGAGTATTGTGAATTGAATAGTGCAAGTTTCATTAACCAATTGGAGGAAAGAAACCATGGCAAAGGAGAAGGATCCGTTAAGTGAGCTGCGCCGCATTGAGCGCGAGTTGAAGGAACTGGAGAGGCGGCAGCGCGAAGAGCACAGAATCATGGCCGCTGAGTTGGTAGATCGTCAGCGCCGGGGGCTGACCGGCGACGACGCTGTTAGACACTGGAATGATTGGATGTTGCTCCACGCATTGCCGCACTTGGTAATTGAATGAGAAGACGCGGCGCGCCGGCCAGGACGCGCCGCGCTTTTGTCTATTAAACGTTTTCGGCCTGGTTCAGATATAGAGCCGAGCCGGCTTTGATTTTGAATGATTCAATGGCGTCGCCGAGGAAGTCGGCAGCATGGTCGTAAGTGAGATTGCCGGTGCCGACGGTGTAGGGCCGTAGGACGAGCGATTCAGTCGAGCGTTGCCAAACATCGCCGACGCGGCGGGAGACGATCACGGCGAACGCGGCGGGGGAGAATTCGGCGCCGGACACTTCGGAGGCGTTACCGCCAAAAGAGAACTGGAGCACACCCGACTCGGCTAATTTGAATGAAACAGATCCTTCGTTTGCGGCATTTGGATTTGCGATTGTCTTGAAGTCGCCTGTTCCGGTAAATATTGGTTGCGTCCAGCCGGCCTCGGTCGACGGCTCCAGGATGACACGCGCGAACTCGAATCCGTTATATTGACCGGTGACGTCAGAGTCGTCAATCGTTAGCTGCACAAAAGTCAGCTGGTCGCCGCGCTGAAGGCCTGCAGCCGCGCAAAAATCAGCATATGTGCCGGTGTCAGTAAACGAATCTTCTATAAAGATTTGCATCGCGCCATCCACCCATGCCTTCGTTAATGACGCGATAGACCCTTCGGAGATGATGTACGGCATGAACTCCGGTAAGAAAGAACCTTTGGCCGCGTAATTGCTTTCACTGTACCAGGTCGGTTCGGCACCGGTGATAATTTCCTCAATCGCGCCGGCAAGTCCCTGGCGCATTTTTGCAATATTAAGTGCCGTGAAGCGAGCCTGCGACATGGTTCCGACGGCCCTGCCCTGGAACGAGTGGTCGCAGATCTTAGACATGAAAGAATAAGCGTGCTGAGCTGTCAACATCACGACACGCTGCAAGAGTTGGAGCGTTGTTTGTGGATTAGCCGGGTGACGATTGCGGCCTCTGAACACCTGCTCACCATAGGCGCGATAATAAGTGATGTCGCCGACGGAACCGCGCCCAAATCCGAGGAACAAATTACCTTTCCCCATGATTATGATTCTTTAGATGGTTTAACACTGGCCGACTTCTTAGCCGGCTTTTTCTCACTCGGGGCCGCGACGCCGGAGGCGGCGCGCTCGGCCATGATTTTGCGACGGAATCGCAGCGGGACTTTAACCATGATAAAATTATGATAAATAGACGCGCCAAAGATAGTGAATTTTTGCGACAAAATCATTAAGTTTAACGAAGTTTAACCAAGCAAGGCGGCGCGACCAGGACGCAGCGGCCGACGCGGCGGCTGACCCGGCGACCAGGGCGGCCGACGCGGCGGCTGACCCGGCGACCAGGGCGGCGGACCCGGGGACCATTGCGGCGGGCAGTGGCGGGGACCCGAGCACGCAAGGACTGGGCGCACCGGC